GTTCCACACACACAATACACAGTTAAAAAGAATTTTTTAAAAAAACCTCTAACCCTAATGCAATTCTAGCTACAGCCAAATAACTCAGTTTCTAACTATGCCTGAGATAACTCCCTCATGCAACTCAAAAGAGACCAAACCTCTTCCTACCCAAAACCCGACAGAACCCCATTCTTTCCTTTATTGGCTTTTAGGGTCAGGCAATTCCCTCTGGGCAGAGAAGGCTGGTTTGTGAGTTAAAGGGCCAGCTGCTCTCCACTACAAAGGCAGATGCAGTTTGTGCTAATGTTACACAGATACACCATAGTAATATTTTTTTAGAAAATTATTTTTTCAATGGTGCCATTTTCAAATACATTATTCCATAACTTCTGAACCTCATGTCATTCCACTTCAGAGACTAACAATTTCAGTGTCTGTTAAAAAATGTTGGCTTTTAAAATTAAGCAAACATACTAAGTCAACATGCTGTTCAGAAATTATCTTCTCCCAGCATCTTCTGTATTAGAAACTATAATAAGCTACCATATGTGAGTTATAAAATCTAGAAAATGTGTTTATCACTTAAAACATTTAGTATTCACAATGTTTATTTAAATAAGTCCATTCTTATTTCAATCAGTCAGTCAGTCAATTACAGTCTTAGACCAATACAAGCAATGTGTTCATGAGGGCTCAGTATTTATAAATCTTAATAGTAAATAAAATAAAATTTGAGACAAAACACATTTATAAAACAATCTGTCTAGAATCTGTAAGGTACAAAAAGAACAATCTATGTCTACATTATAAAGTAGACTCTAAGAAACTGACTTATTTCAGTTGTTACTACTTACACAAATTTTACAAGCAATATGTGAATTAGAGTATGTTTATTTCTAAAAATGCTCTAATGGATCCTGCACTGAGCAGGGTTTTGTACATGGCCTCTAAGATCCCCTCCAACTCTGATGCTATGAAATAAGAAATCCCTCCAGTTGAGGTCAACTTTATTGATTTCATGGACACGTCCATACAATTTTCTTGGCAACAGTATGAAAGTTGTTTGCCACTGCCTTCTACTGGTATTTTATTATTTGCCAATCTAGCATGATACTCTGGGATTTTATGGTGATGTTTCATCCAAATAATAACCAGATCCAAACCTGCTTAACTTTTTGAGATCAGCTTACTAGCAGAATTAATTTTATGATAAACAGCAGCTATCAGTTTATCAATACTGATTTCAGCAAAATGTTGATCTAAATTACAATTGCTAATAGCTCTGAAAGTACTCTTTGTTATCTTCAGTACATTTTGTAAGGATGTCTTGGTATTTATGTACAAATAGTTCAGTCTGCAATCAATAAAACTACAGAAATTATGAATGATAGCAGTCATTCCTTACTTCAAACTCCTGAAAAACTGTTGAGAATACCCAAGAGAATACTTGTAATTTCACTATTCTAAAATATTAAAGTTCTATTTTGCCTATTTTTCTGACTTTTAAGTTGCTTAGATTGTTTTACTGTTATTTATTTGAAACATTGTATACAGTTTCCCATTAAAAAAAAACTTGATGTGGGTTCTTTTCTATCCTTCATATCAAATGTCTAAAAACAGTGATTATTTGCCAGTGTGTGGAAAACACTGCTGTCTATTCCTTACTGTGCCACCAAACTCTTATCCACCACATGAATTAAAGCATCAAATCCCATATGCTTGACAAACTCATATATAGGCTACTTGAAGGCATTTCGTTTCACTAAATAGATATAGATATATAGACAGTCACTGTTAAATTGCAATAAAAAACAACTGCTTTTGAAAAAGAAACAAAACAATACTGACGGAACAAGTCTGAGATTGAAACCCTAGCACGTATTTAGCAGCCATTATATAACCACGATTCTTTGCAATCAATCAAACCGAAAAAGCACCTTGCTAAAACTCTAAATCCCCTCGAAACCCATGCAAGCGAGAGAAAGGGGCTGAATAGGACACTCGCGTGCCGGCGTCGAAAACTTAAACCGCTTTGGACAAGGTAGGCAAGCAGGCGCCGAACTCTATCTCGCTTTCTCCTCGACTCCCGGGGGAGCCCGTAGCGCCTTCCCGACTCTCCCCTGAAGACGGGAGAGCAGGCCGAGGGGTGGAGCCACAGCAGGCGAGGCCTGAGGTTCGCAATCGGGCCAGCCTTCCGAAAGACCCGGGACGAGGCGTCACCCCGAAAGGCTCCTGCCTGAGCACCTCCCAACCGCTGACTCACTCCCCCGACCATCTCTTCCCCCTTCCAAGCCCATCGCCCGCCGCTAAGGATACACGTTGAGGCGCTGGCCCATATCCTGGATGAGATTGGCCGCCTGCTGCCGGTAGGAGAGCTCTTTGTCGGCCTCGACGCCGCAGTGGCGCGACGGCGTGTTCTCCAGCCGCTCCCGGCTGAAAAACCACGCGAACTTCCTAGGCCGCCTCCGCCAGGTCCGCGCGACCCCGAACTCGCGCCAGGTCCAGAACCCACCACCGCCGCCATGACACTTCCTCCTCCTCCCGAAGCAGCACCCGCCACCGGCGCGCCCGGCTCCTCCTCTTCCATCGCGGCCCCTCTCGCGAGAACTCAGACAAAGCGCGGCCAAACCGGATCCTTCAGCTACACTCTGGCTTTAATAAACCATAGAGTTGCAGCCTGGGGGAAGGGAGGAATGGCGAATGACTATATAATACGACTTTAAATAGCCGCCCCTATCCAGTCGGAGTAGGTTCCTTCTAACATTTTTTTCCTCCATGGCGGCTGTGTGAAGGTTTTTCTAGACGGTTTTATCAGTAGAAATAGGAAGGGGAACTCACACTGCTTCATGCATGCAGAAGAAGCGTCCTGATTTCTTCGGAATGTTTGTTCTCTCCATGTACTTTCCCGGGGCAAAAGTGATAGTTCATAAAAAGGGTGTTATCAGTGAATAGTTGTGAGTCCACTCGGAGATAAGAGTAAATAGGTGACTTCGTCTTAGTTTTGGTCTATGTGCACGGTATCTTTTAGTAGCTTTAAAATATTTTCTAAATGGCTTGATGAAGGCTGTGCAAACCATTATGAACAAGAGAGGATCTACAGTCTCTGTTTAATATAATCTATGTCATTTGTTGCTAGAGGGGTGTTTCCAGTGAAAACCCATCTTGTGAAACTTGCATTAGATTATCTTCAAAAGTAATGGTAAAATGTCCCTCTCGACTCATTCATCACCCAATTGTTTGTAGGGGTGTCTTACACAGACTCTCACGTGGGTATTTTTCACTTCAACTGCTTTATAAAGCTCTCTAAATTCAAAAATCCCATAATGCCAAATTAAATGTCATGACTTGGGGAAAACGTTTCTTTTTTGCTGTTAAACTTCGATTCTCAGAAGAGCAGCTGTTCCTGGACTTTGGGATTAGTCCATTGCTTTCAATAGACATTGAAAGCCAAAACAAACACTCAACTCCCTAAAAGAGACTTAGAAGTCAGCCATCTACTTAAATAGTCTATTGCCTGATTTTGTACAGAGAGAAGGAAAGGGAAAATAATGTTTGGTCAGGAGCTAGTGTTTGACATAAACTGCTTTCAGGCCCTTCAGTCATTTCCTAAGCACTCACCTGTGTGTCCTGCTTGCCCCGGTATGAGGCCAACCCAGTAAATATTTCTCAGAGTCGAGTTCTCCAACTCCCTCCCACCCCCACTGCCATCTGCTATGAAGGTAGCCTCTGTCTGCCTGCCTTTTCTTGCTCAGAGACAGAAGTAGTGCTTTCTGACTTCTGCCAGCACGGGTTTTGCTGTACAGCCTGCCTGCTGTGCTTCATTTCATTCTAGCCAAATGCCTCCACTCCAATTGGCGCCTGTGCATCACTCTCTCCAGTGGCCATTTAGACCTGGGTTGTCTGACTTCTGGATGGACCTTCCCATGGTGGACTGTTGAAATGCTGAATAGTTGTTTTTAATTTTTACAGGTTTACCACTGTATAGGTGAAAGGTTGGCCTTTTTTTAAAAAAAAAATAATAATTTAGTGATGGAACAGTTTAATTAGGTGAAATTGACAGGAGTTCTGCCAGTTTCCGTTTCTAGCCCAAGTGAGGGGAAAGAAGGTAAAACTGGTGTTTTTTTTTTTACTCACTAGTGGACAGGTCAGATGGGAAGTTGTCAAATTCAAGGCTGTACAGAAGGTGTATCAATGGAAACCACATGTCTTCAAAAACTCAGTCATGGAAAGGGAAGCAATTCATGCTTCCTTTCCAGACCCAGGTAGGAGATTTAAAGAAGCAGGAGAATCCAGCAGTCCAGAGCCATGGTAACTGCTGTCCAGAAAGAGCCAGTGTTGTCACCAAAGCTGAAGAACAGATTGAAATTCATACATGGGTTTTTTAAGCCAATTCATTTTGCATGGGAGGCAAGCCGCATAAAGATGCTGTGTGCAAGAGTCCTAAGTGGGATTGCTTTATCTCGGATATCTCAGGTTTATATAGGTTGAGGCTATTTAAGATTTTTTAAAATCTATGTTAAAATTGTTTTTGTAAATAGAAATGTAAGCTCCTCTGAAGGTACAGTGTGTTCTTTTTAAAGAGTACTGTTAAAAAAAGAAATATGAGTCAGAGCAAATAGAACAATTAATAGCTAAACAAACATTACATGGTAACCCACTATTTTCTTAATCATGGTTTACTTAATTAGTCCAAGTGGCTGACTTTACACAACATTCTGAACTGAAAACTAACTATGTTAGCTGGGTTTGACAGCACACTGACCTTCAAGTAAGCCAATTACCATTTTGCCTAAAGTGTTGTATGAATCCAATCTGTGTGGTTGTGTATAGTTCTGTGTGTTCTGCAAACCCAGACAATTGGGTTAAATAAGAATAACATGGTTGTTAATCATCAGTAAATATATCCTGCAAGCACAATCTTTGACTGTAATTCTCTGAGCACCTACCTGGGAGTAAGTCTGATTGAATATGGTGGGAGTTACTTCTAAGTAAACATGAATCAGCTTTTGAGATAAATATATTGTAGCAAGTTGCCATTTATTCTTTTCTAAGGTGTGCATGATTATAGATACATAGAATATGTTATCTTTCTATTGAATTCCTAGGCTCAAGGAGATAAGCAATAAAATTATAGTAGTAATTAAAATTCCAAAATTCAAATAGGACTACATAACCTTATCCTTGCACCCACCAATTTCCCTACCTTTATATAAACAGATTGTTCTATTTTGATTTATTCGGATCTTTCTGTAACAGTGCAATACTTAAGAGGAAGAGAGACAATTTCTTTTAAGTTTAAGTGATAATCATTCATTGATAACATGCTAAAATGGTCCATTCCATATATAACAGGAAAATTTCTTACAACTATATACCTTTTCTAAAAGTTCTTAATGCATTTGGCTTTTATAAAGGTGGATTCAGGTTTTCAGCATATGTATATTATTTGAAATTGGCATGAGAGTGCATAAATATAAATATATAGTTTTATGGTTGTCCTCCAGAACCTAAAAATGTTCATATATAAGTACAATAGTTCTGTTATTACTCAAATTGTTTTCTGTCAATATCCAAAAATGAAAGAGCATTGCCAAACTTGAGCTTCTCCTGTAACAAAAAAAAAGAAAAAAGATTTTGAGAAAGCGTTAACAAATGTTTTGTATATATGCAAAAGCTAAAGATTCTGCCTCAGAAGGCTTCCCAATCAAATACAGTGGTACCTCTAGTTACGAACACCTCTAGTTACGAACTTA